TTAATCAAGCGTCGCGATATTTCTTTTGACAAACAATTTTGGCAACAGAAGACGATACTTCATGTACGAGTTATATGTATTATTGATGATAGGTATAAACACGTCTAATTTACAAAGATTCTTCCCGAGGATGCTCATAGCTCACAAGTCACAGTCTAGCCCTGCAGTCGACGTTAATTAATGTAACTCGACAAGGAATACGAGCATAATTACTTTGCTCGAGTGGCCGAAAGTTTGCTCGTTATCGAGGCTGCGCGTAGCTTCACGTAGATGACGCGGAGCCACTTCGATAATGTCTTAACACCGGATATTATAGATATTATCGCGCGCGCAGGTTTAATCTCTTCTTATTATTGACAACGGTCAGGTGTGCAATCGCAGAGAGAATCAACAACTCTATATTAAGAACTGATATCTATTTATTTTTCACAATGTAATCTTTCCAGGTTATTTAATTCATTAAATGGAAAAGCAAACTTGATCTATTATATGTATATATATTTTATAGAACAAGAAAAATATAAAAATACTCCGTAAAATTATCATGTACACAAGCGCATATATTAAATACTGTCGCTAATTGTAACGATAACAAACCTTGCATTGATGTTATTTACTTTGTTGCATTTGTTGCGCGTAATTACTATCGCAATTTTTAACAATATCATCGCGCGTGTTGTACTTGTCGCACAAAATTATGACCAAGTTAAATTTTGAAATCATACTCGAGCAACCGTGCACACACACGGCTTGTATTACGGTATTAGCGCGAAGATTGACGTGGCATAATTGTCAAAGCTGCACGGCAAAGACGCCGTCGGCAAACTTTGTCCAGCGGCTTTGCGTTTCTCTCGCGAGCTTTCTCCTCGTTCTCGCACATTTTTCGCGGTGTACATGCAAGAGAGCTGTATTACTACGTAACCCCCTCCCGGAATGACGCGGTTTGCCCGTCACGGGGTCTGAAGGGTCGTGCGTTAGGCGGCCGCCTCGTGACAGTCAGGCCGGTGACGCCGAGGAAAGTTGAACCTGCGCAAACATACGGGAGGGCGAACGCACACGGCGCTGTTTGGCGACGGCCGGATGTACGAGGGTAGCAGACCACATCACTCGTCGGCCCGGCCGGATGTCCCGACATTGAAATACAAGCGGACTCGTGCGCGCGTCCAACGGGGTTGCTAACCCCTACGGTTCTTTACTGCACCTCTCACTCTCTCTCTTCTCGACAAGTGCAACACAGTTTTTTGATAAAACCGCTAAGAATTTATTGTTGCTTGTCAATTCGCAAAGAGACAAATGTAAACATATCTTATATTATTTAAATTTCATAGTAAACATACTATTAAGAAATAAAGAGAGAAAAAGAGAGAGATCGAGAGAGCTTAAAAATAAAATTGAAATAACAGTAAAAAAACGCTACATCAAATATTGTTTATCATTTTGAACACATCAAGGAAACGACGTGCGTTGAAATACTATATATTAACATTCTGTATTGACACACTGAATATAGTTTGCAGATTTTGAAGACTAGTTAACACTTCAGTACCGTTTTCAAAGACACGTGACTTCAGTGTCACGTAACCTTAGTTTAGTCACGTTTTTAAAGACACGTGACTTTTGATTAAAAAAAGAAATCGAAGAAATATTGCTTTTTGCAGAGATATTCAAACTGAAGGTTGCGTGAATCTCACAGACTTAGTGTGAACAACTCGTAAGTCATTTTTTATGGCACCAAAGAAGTAAATGTTAAACAATAGGTTATCATTGTTGACGTATCGACGGTATAAATTTGCTTTATATATATAACGCTCTATATATATGATTTTGGTGTAACATCTCTCCAATTATGTTCTCTCTATTTCTGTCACTCTCAAAATCAAACTTGCCATTTCGCAGAAAAATGTGTCTTATTGATGATAGCAACAATATCTCATTGTCTAACACAATACACTACAAGAATCTCTATTCTCTCTTGCGTATTTCCTAAAAATATATCTTTCTCACGTGCAATCTTTAAAAGTTGCCATTACCACCGGGGCCACAATCCTCGTTGTATTGTCCCTCCCACTGCACCTTGTCAGAGTTCATAGCCGGTGCACGAGTAACGGTCTCCTTCGTCTCCAGGGTATTTTATCGTGTCGCCTGTAATAAGGTTTCCACGTGTAAGAAACCACCGAGGTGTTCCGCGATATAGGTGGCCAAGGAGCAGTACCGGAAAGAGACAAAGGGGGTGGCGAATGGAGCGCGAGATGGGAGGAGGGTGACGGGAAAACGAAGCGGAATGGAGAGCGCACTACAGGCAGCCGGCGAATCCAATCGCAATAGAGTTAAGTGTTCGAGAGTAAAACCTAGCCGAGGCACGACCTCGATTACTTGTGGAGGATTTGTTACAGCCACCTTTTCCGCCACTTTCTAGTGGCGCGACTGGCCTCTCCGGCCACCATAGAATCGTCTTGCTTCTTCTTTGTCTACGAGCTTTCTGAAAGGCAAGCAACGGGTAACACGAATGTAACACTAAAGCGAGCGAAGGAACGCTTTGCTCCCCGCGCCGTTGTCGTCGTCGTCGTTTGAACTCCTGAGCCACTCGAGCTTATTTTTCGCCATGAAACACGAGAAACCACCGATTGGTTGAGTTTAGTTGGTCACCAATTTCCGACATCGTTGCATCGTCGGATAACGCGTCGTAAAACACAATTTTTTTTTTCACCCACTCTCATCTCGTGCGTTCACCTTTATTGACGCTCGGTTTCGTTCGGTTTGAAGATCGATCGTTCTCGACCGATCAAGAAAGTTTCTTTCTCTCCCCTCTTCCTCCTCCTCTTTCTCTCTTGCAATGGAAAAACCAAAAGATAATAAATATGTAAATTGTCGAGCGAGATATTATCAGTTTACTGCAAATGGTCTCATTAAAAATTTGCTCTTGCAAACTTAAGTAGACTTAACTCATCAATTAATATCTTATGTGTACACGTGCCACGAATTTTTGATTGACAACTACAAGATGATTGATGAATATAAGAAATGAGTTTTGAACTTTGATTTTTAATCATATATTTGTACTATTCTATGCTTTTACTTGCCATATAGCTTACGTTTACATGCAGTGTCCATATAAACAAGATTGTTCTGTTGTTGTAAATATTTTTTTATAAACAATCTATAAATTTTTCGCAAATTTTACAAAATTCTGTTAAATGTAATCAATTTATATATTTTATATATATCTTGCACTTGTGTGTCAAAATACCAAAATAGATTTTTATATACATGTTTCACATCTGTTATTGAGTATCGATACAGCGACAGCAGGAGTATCGGTATTACTCGCGGGATTCAACCCGGCGGCAAGCCACCTTAATGCAATTCCGAACACATTTCCTTAGTTGGTTCTTCTTGTTTTACTGTGAAAATCCTCGAGGCCGTTACGTCGGTAACGATAGGACCCGGCACAGCAGGCTGTTACCGCCACATGCCGCCATAATATCGGGCAAAAGTTTTCTGGCCAGCAGGAGAAAATAATTTGATATAACTCGGTGTTGCAACCCTGCGCACAGGTGGAAACTTCGACTGGAAACGGGGGGAGATCCTCCGAAGTACAATTATGAAGCTGACGTTACTGGCAATTAAATAAGTGTAGTACACTTTTTTCGACAAACTCGAAACAGATAAAGTCTCACGAACATTTATATATTATTAATAAATATGTCATTAAAAAGGCATTAATATTTATATTCAAACGCAAACAACAGTAAAGCGAAAGCGACGAAATTTGCAAAATCCTTTTTTTTATAGAAAAACTACATAAAACAACGTGTATTTACATGTAGAAAAGATGTATAAGTCTCTCGCTTCATATTGAATAAAAAAGATATATAAGTCTCTCGCTCCATATTGAGTGGAAAAGTTAAGAGATCGCGAAGACGATTTCTCCTCTACGGTCTTTGCGCCTCTTCACGTTCCCACGTTTTCCTCTCACCCCTCGTGCACCTTTCTTTCTCCACCACCCCCAAGACGCTCGTTTAAGCGTCCAGTCTCCCTTTATTCCTCTTCTAAAAGTCTTTCGCTCGTTTCGTTCTGTCTCACTTATTCTTCTCACGACTTGCCATTACGACGCGCCAATGGTGAGTTCCGAGGCTTATTAAATTGTAACAATTTTAATTAGAGAAGCACTGTGTGTCGGCGCGTTCCTCCTTTCTCTCTTTTCTTTTCTCCTCCATTTGCAGTTTTATCGTCTTGTACGTACGTAGACATACCTCTTCGCTTTGTGACTACATAAGTATATTCTTTTCGGTTTCACTGCGAGAAGTTGACTCCTTGCCTCTCATCTTTCAATTTTCTTTTAAAAAGTTAACGCTCTTGCACGCTAACGTTTTTTTTTCTTATTTATCAAATAGATGCGAGTACTCAAAGTCATTCGTAGCACACGGCGCCGTGAGCTACGCTTTTTCTTATGTGATAGGCGAAACTTCGGGCTAACGAAGATGCAACGGTGATGCTCGAGCTTCTTCCTTGAACAGACTCGAGATCAATCCATCTTCGAAAATGGCAATGTTGTTGCAAAAAATAAGACATCAGAATATTGATATACTTCAGGATTATATAAGATAGGAGCAATATAAATTTGTTGACTTTAAAAATACATGTTTGCACATATCATTTTGCAAGACTTAAGCAGACAATGGAATTACGGTTTCCAATACGGTTAATTTATCGCAAAATTTGTTTTAATAAACTAAATTTTTAAATGTTTATGTGTGTTGTATGCATTAAATCATAGTACATAAACTGATTTAACAACATATTTTTCTGTTTTTGCAACAATGTAACTCAGTGTAGGAACTTTTATCACACAAATGTGATATATGACTATTCAATAATATAATCAATTAATTTAAAAAAAAAAAAAAAACAGATTATCTCATGTGGAACAGTCTTAAAACCAAGCGAGATATTAAACTCAAAATATTTTTGTCATTTAATAAAATTGAAAAATTTTAAAATTAAACTTTTATAATGATTTATTCATAATCAAATATACGATTATTAATCACAATTCTCTGAAATATTGTAAAATAGTGACAACATTTACAAATCAAATAATTTGTACAGTAATTATATTTTCTGTATTGTCAAAGCTTAATCACATTAATCGATAAACGTAAAAATATTTTCTATACTGTAAAATACCTATTTCATCTTTGAATGCGCATATCGCTTTTATTCAATTGCGTTGAGTTTATTTTACAAAAATAGTATAAAGTACATGAAATGTTTTTAGCGCAACATACAAAAAAACAATTTGAATATAAAAGTATAGACTTGTGAAGAATTGTGTATACACAATTTTTATTTATATATTTGATCATTTTTTATTTCTCTTTTTGTACCCAAAATCAAGTTTCAAAAAGATCTGTTAGTTAAACTTATTTAAAAAAAATCAGGATAGTTCGGTGTAGTGATACCGAGAACAATGTACATGATATCGGATACGATTCGCGTATCCACTCCAGCATCGTGAAGAGTATATAAAATAAGCTGGAAGGACTTGATTTCGTAAACTTGATTAACGAGTTCCTGGAAATTTTTAGATTTTAGCTGATCGATGAATTTGGAGAAAGGTTTTGAGGTTTTCGATTTTTGCACGTAGATACGAATAAAATCGTCATAGTTGAATAGCACCTTAATGTCTTTAAAAAGTCCGGCGAGCCCACCGGTTCGCATGGGGTTGGTATACGGTTCGCGAACCAAGACAGACGGTGGTACCAGTTCTTTTTTTATGCCGAGTCTTTTGTTAAGTGCATTCATTACGTCATAGATATAGACTTTTTTTTTGTGTAGATAATTAAAAAAATTGATCGCCTCGGGAATGGCCTCGAAATCTTCCACCAGGTTTTTGACTATAGACGTGCTTTCGGCGATTTCAATTATAGATTTTACTTCGTCGTCTTTCTTGGCGTACTCTTCAAAGACATCCTTAATTTCGTCTATAGGAACCAGATCCAGTATGTCTTGGATATCTTCATGAAGAGGACCCTTGCCGAAATCTGGGAAATTGCGAGCCTGACTCAGACCGGCAACGGCCAAGAGTGCAATTAGCGTCAATTGAAACTTCATCTACAAACATAGTATATCCACATATGTGAAAATCAAAGTGCTGAGCATTAAAATATACGACTTTATTATACACATATGACGTTTTATATACATATAATATATATTTAATAATATATATTTAACTATTATTAGTTATATTTTTTATAATATATATTTAACGTGTATGAGTGTAATATGTAAAAAAAAACAGAATATTTTAAACTAGAGATATGTATGTGACACTTTTATGTACATATATATGTATGTGTGTACTTCAATGAATTTAAAAATTATTTACAAGAACAATTTACTTTCTTATAAATAATAATTTGCTTTCTTCTAAAATCTTTAGAAAAAAAATTAAACAAAGTGTGTTATATTAAAGTTAAACTTTAAAAATATATATATACACATATATGTGTGTATGCGTGTAAAAATATAGAATTTAAGTACAAAGAATTACGTAAATTATTTGCGATAGATCTGTGCGTAACTAAAGAGAATATTCAAACAAAATCAAAAAGATACAAATGACTTACCGTAATGCTGTACGAAAGAACACTAAGGTTTAAAAGTATATATCGTAAATTATATACCAGAGTACATTGTTTGTATATCTATAGGATAAACTAGATAAGATTGTGATACGCATTAATGTCAATTAATATACATATAAAACAAAAAAAATGCAAAAATCAATTGAAAAACTAGAGTATAGTAAATATGCTAACTGCATCACTTTTATATTGATTTTTTTATAGTTTTGTTTATTTCTATAAATATGTGTTTTTCTCTTTTTATTTATAAAGTAATTTTTTAAGATATTATATATTTTTCTTATTACATTATTTTTTAAGAAGTGCGTTTTTTAACGATTTCATCAAATAATTTCAACAGATTTCATCATTGAAATTATTTTCTTCTATTAATGTAGAAAACATATTTTGTGCAATTGTATTAGTTTTTCAATATATAACTTCAATATAAAATTCACTTTTTAAATATAGATAACAAATATATATAAACAAAGAAACAAATATATATTACAAAAGTAATGCTTTTTAAACAGCATAATGTTATCTGACCTATTTGCTTTTTAACAATAATTACTTTCTGTGTTATCTTGTATAACTTATTTACACAAGCGCGCGTGAAAGATAACAGGACAAAAATATTACTTATCATTTTGATAAATTGAGGTTTGCAAGCACATTTTTAGTAATATTGTTACTAACAATCAGTGGTCTTAATATCATAAAACTAGAAAACAAGAATGATACAACATTAAAATCTTAAATCTAACCTTTGTCAACTCTATGATGTAAAATAACGTAAAATATGAAAAATAAGAATGATATATTACAAAGAAAATGTGTAATCTACGATCACACAGCAGATTACTGAGTAAGATAATTATCATTATAACAATTAGGTGTTGAACGAATCAGAGAGATAACGCGCAGATTATCAAAATTGACTTCTTAATTTAAAATATTATATAAGCACAAACAAAATATATATAATAAGAACTTCTTACTAGTTATTACATAAGTGTTCGTTGTAATAATAGCATACAAATTAGCACTAATGATCAGTTTATAATTGTTTTTTAAAATAAAATTACTTTCTTGGTTTTACAACGTAAAACTGAAAATTAATTGCGTAGAAAAATAAACTAATAATAAGTACATCATGTGTTTTATTAACAAATTTAATATTTATATATTTCAAAAATAATCTCTAAGTTTTATAATTGAATGTCACCACTTTTATATCTTTAAGCGATATTAATATACTATTATATATAATGTGCAATGATTGCACAAAATCTGCGCAATTTAAACCGTTATAAATCTTGTTTTGATTACTTTTCAAGTATTTATGTCTGCCAAATTTTCAGAAGATAAATCTCACGTTTCTCTTTAATTCTTCTTGACTCATCATTAACAGAATTACTATCTTAATGCGATCACAATCTTATCTCTTTCTTAATTTTCAATAGACATTCATATGTTTACTGATACAAGAAAATATATAAACGTACGGAAGTTTCTAACAAACGTCACAGTTCTTTCTCAACTGGCACGGTATGTAAAAACAATATGTTTTCTTCTGTTAAAACTTCTGATAAACAAATAACTTTTGACACATGTTTTACATATTTTTTTAACAAGCAATTTAAACGTGTTTTTATGTACATTTTTACAATAACATGTAGTTTCTATTTAAATAACAAAATATATTTTATAACACACATGTATAAGATATTAGTATTTATATTCAACATTTGCAGATGAAGCTTATGATAGCGTTGTTCGCCATCTTGGCCGTCTTCGGCTTAGGCCAAGCTCGTCAATTCCCGGATTTTGGTGAGGGTCCTCTTCATGAGCACATCCACGATTTTTTGGATTTAATCCCTGCGCAAAAAATTCAAGAAATCGTTTTGGATTACTATGCCAACGATGCTGAGGTGAAGGAGGCTTTCGAATACCTGGCTAACTCAACCTTATTGGAACATCTTTGGAGACACATTATATCCATTCCTGAACTTCAAAATCTTCTCGACTATCTGAAGAGAGAGGGCATCGGCACCAAGCACGTAATAAGTGAAATTAACAAAGTCTTTAAAACAAAGAAATTTATACCGATGCAAGAATTTAGAAGTACAAAAGAAAGAACCGGTGGAATCGCCGGACTTTTCAAAGACATCAGACAACAGATCGATTATAGCGATTACATCAGAGTGTATGCCAACAAGACACGAACCTCTCCGACCTTTGTCAGGTTCATGAAGGAACTCAAATCGGAAAACTTTCAGCAGATTGTTAACAAGGTTTATAAACACTACAACTTCCAATTCATCCGGAATCATCTGAAACGCGTCGGAGTGAACGTAAAACTCGTAGAAGACATTCTATATCTCGTTCTTGGCGTCACGATACCACCCAAAACGCTGATAGAAGAGATTACCGACTTTGGTCAACTTATTCCGACGGAATACATAGAAATATATGTTAAGTATTTAAATGAAGATGAAAAGGTACGAAAGGCAGTGGAGTACCTGTTCACACCTGAGTTCCACAATTTGCAACGTAACGTCGAGAATCTGCAGGAGTTCAATGAGCTTGTAATATTCTTCGAAAATGCCGGACTGCCATATGTCGATTTCATTCGGACCCTCCACGAAGCTATCGGCATGGAAAAGTACGTGCCAGCCTATATGGAACAGTTTCTTCAACAAACCAGTAAACCACAGAAAGTCGGCGAAGGAATGAAAGCAATGCTCGAGGATCTCTACAAGGTTTTGCCCGTAGAAGAGATCGACGCTCTTTTCGAGGAAAAATTAGTGACTTCCAAGGTCTTTGCTGATTTTCTTGTAAAACTTTACTCCCAAGAAATGTATAGACTTGTAACTGCTCTGTCTGCACAACAATCATTCAAGCAGTATCTTGCGAAGACTATTGAAGTAGGATTAGAACTCGAAGGTGTCGCGAAATTATCGGCTAGAATGATTGGAATTAATATTAAATGAGATATGATTGTACAGTACTTCGTGCATTTGCGGTCCGCAATTTGATGCGTTAAATTTCACAATAAAATAATAATACAACATAAAATAAAAATACAACATGGAATTATACAAAGTACAATAAATTCTTCTTGTTAACAATAAAATGATTTTATATTAAACGCTTCTTTTATTCCTCTCCCGTAAAATAAATTATAAAATATTTAGTAAGTAAGAAAATAAATAGACATCTTTCACGTTTTGGTGTAAGATAATTTTATCAAGTTCAAGCTTTTAAATTTGACAAAATAATTATTGACAACTCTAAAGATATAAATCGAAGTTAATTTATTTGCGCTCGTTTTTAATTTTTTTTATTTTGTATTGTTGAAGAAGATTTAAATAATAAGTCGAAACGTACAAACTGTGAAAATTGTATAATTAAAAGAATTTGTGAATGCCATATCAGCATGCAATTTTTTAAACATGTGACCTTCTTTAACTTTGATTTAGTCTTTAATTTATGTACATATTTTTATTAAAAAATTGTAATATAAATATAATAGGCAAAATGGACCTTCCAGTCTTTAGGGCTACAGTTAGAAGAGGTAGATAATAAAAGATATTCTGCAGATAGGATAGTGGAACGTTTCGATCTTTATTATTTTAGATCATCTTCAGCCACTGCATAAAAGTACATAAAAAAATAAAATACATAGCAAAATTAGAAGAATTTAAAGAAGAATCGTACATGAATTACATATTGAGTATTAATTATATGGCAAGCCACTTTATCCTTAAGGGAAAAAAATATAATATAATATACTATAAATATAATATACAAAAAACTGTTATTTAATATAAATATGGTATGCAAAGACTGTGTTTATGTTCATTTTTAAGGCGCACATAATCATATATATTTTTATATATATATTTATATTTTACGATATATAACTACGCCTGTCAGAAATAGATTTTGCCAAAATTCCACATCATCAAAGTCATAGCAGATCTGTCAAACGCAGATTTAACGGCAGATTGGCAGCACAAAGCAAGGAGAAATCATAAAATGTGATGACATCTTATAGCAACATCTTAACAAAATTTAGATAACAGATTGACCGTGATTTTGTCGATCTCCGATAAGTGTTACCGAAAACAAACTGTTTATGAGAAATCAAGATTATAAAGAAACTAATTAGTATTAAGTATTAAACAATTCTTTCTCTAGCAAGTTTATTTTAATTGTTTAATTTTTATTTTTTTACAGTAGAGTTGCACAAATATTGTAATCCACTATCTTAATGCCATTAAACTGTAAGATATGTACCAAATTAAAAAAGTGTAACGAACAATCACTTTTCACAGGAAATATGTAATCCACACACATGACAATGCATTACAATGCAGATTGACCGACTAAGATAAATATTATCTTATAATTATATGTTGAATAAACGAAATAGCGATAACGCAGCTTATCAAAAAATTGATCTCTTATACAGTTTAAATTTTATATAAACACAAACAACCAAAATTTGCTTTTCATGCAAAGTTTCGTAATTCATATATGTATGTAGTAATTCGTCATAATTCATAATAATATTACATCTTACTTTGTTCGTAATCCGAAAAAAAGTTCGATTATAAAAGACATATTTACAATTGACCCAGTTTTTTCTATTTTTTTGACTTTTGTAATTTTGTATTTATGAATTTTTCTCTATGGAGAAAAGAAAAACTTTCTGACATATGTGTTAAACGACATCTTTTTTAAATTGCAGCGTTTAACGAATGCACATTGCAAAATGTAATAAAGAATTTACAAATAAAATTAACAATATATTGCAGTTGTTCATCATTTTTATATGGTTATCTTGAGCTATTATCAATTTTGTGTCGATTAATTTTCTTCCTGAATTAAAACTACAATTGATAAATTGTGATACCGTACATATAAACTTTGATACAGTAAAAGCTTTATGCTCAAAGTTCTAAGAAAACTAAAGAAATCTCACGTCAAATGCTATATAAAGTGAAAGAGAGAGAAGGCGGGGAGAAAAGAGAAAAATAGTAATTGTGCAAAAAAACCTAAAAAGTAATGTAACATAGCAAAAGTAGATACATGTACATATCAAGAAAACAAATGATGCAATATCAGTCTTGTTCTAAAGTCTTATCATATGATTCTCCGTTTCCCTTGAATCCGATATCACTAACAAAATCAGAATGTTAATCTAATCACATCTTTATCTATTCTTATAATCCGTTTATATAAATGTCTGTAATGCAAGTATATATAAGCGCACGAAAATTATCCGTCGATGTCAAACTTTCTTCACGGCTGACACGGTAAGCAAAGAAACTTTCTTTTCTTCTCCTGTTGAAACATTGTTCAACAAATTTATAGAAAGTTCTATTTGTTTGTTAAACACTCTACAAGTACTTTACATATAATCCAATAACCGTTTTTGCAATAATGATATATTCCAGCAAAGTTATAGAGAAAACATATTTCTAATATTTAAAAAAATAATATAATATTTATAAAATAATATTGAAAGTAAATGGTATATTATTGAAAAGAAATAAAAAAAGAACAGGATATATAATTGTTTTGTAATATTGTCATTGCATGTGTAATTGTGTATTTACAGATGAAATTTACGGTAACGCTATTTGCCATTTTGGCCATTTTCGGCCTGAGCCAAGCTCATCAGGTCCCGGATTTTGGTGAGGGTCCTCTTCATGAAGATATCCAAGAATTTCTGGATTTACTTCCCTTTAAAAAAATTGGGAGTGTTGTAAATTATTACCGACAGCACGATCCTGAAGTGCAAAAACTTGAAAAATACCTTAAAAACACAACTTTAGTCAGAGATCTTTGGGTGGACTTCCAGGCGGTTCCTGAAGTTCTCAACCTTTTTAACTACCTGCAGAATGAAGGTATTCAGATCTACAATGTAGTGAACGTAGTCAACAGAGCTCTTAATATCAAGGAACTTGTACCACCCGAACAACTATTAACGCAAGAACAAGTCGAAGTCATGAAAAGAAAAACCGGTGGACTCGCTGGACTTTCCAAACAAATCAAGAAGCTGGTAGATGCTGACGCTTTCATCAGTCTGTACGCCAAAAAGTTGCAAACTTCCGAGGCTTTCGTCAACTTCATCAGTGAGCTCAAGTCCGAGAACTTTTATCAACTTGTAAACAAGGTTTACAGAATTAGAGCGGTACAAACTCTCTTAAATATCCTGAAACAAGCCAAAGTAAACGTGGCGATCGTAGGTGATCTTCTGTACGTCGTTCTCGGCGTTAAAATAGAGCCTAAAACCCTGAACGAAGAGTTACTTGATTTTTACGAGCTGCTTCCGGTAGAAGATATCATAAACGTAATAATCACGTATGTAAACGAAGATGAAAAGGTACAAGAAGGTATAAAGTTCATGTTCACTCCTGAATTCCACGCGTTGGTGCGCGCCGTCGAGGATCTGAAGGAGTTCGACGAACTTGTGCTGTACTTCGAAAGAATGGGATATTCAATCATCGAAGATATTCAGAAATTCCACGAACTCATCGGCATGGAAGGGTACGTGCCACCCAAAGTCGAGAACATTCTTAAATACGTAGGTAAACCACAGAAAGTCGGCGAAGGAATGATTGCAATGATCAAGGATGTCTACGCTCTGTTACCATTGGACAAGATCGACGCTCTTTACGAATACAAGGTGGCTAATTCCAAGGTCTTCGCCGAACTCGTCAAGAACGTTACCTCCGAGGAATTCAAGAAAATAGTCACTAATTTGTCCACACAAGAAGCGCTAAAGCAACTTCTTTCAGATTCCAAAGAAAAGGGATTAGAGATCGCAAGTCTTCAGAAACTATCTCTCAGAATGATTGGGCTCGTCAAAACCCCCCCGTTTTAAAGTATATGAAGTAATTTATGTATTTTTACAGAATCACAATCTTTTGACACATTGAAACACACAAGATGTAATTAAAAACCTAAAATATATATATACAGTTTATCAAAATAATAATTCCTTAAAACCGAATGAATAAAAATGTATTTCATAATAAACTGTTTATTTCATTTCTCTCCCGTCACACAAATTGTAAAAACAGTTAAGTAAATGTTTCCTCAGACATAATTTATCTTCGTATCTAAACATGTTTGATGATTAAAGTCATTTGTTTCAATTTGTCATCACTTCAAAATAAAGTAAAGATAAACAAACAAGCTCGAGTTTTTTTAATCTGTGTTTGCCTATTGTACTACAAATTATCATCGATGAAACAGATAGAATTATGTCATACGTATTAGTCATTATCCGACTTTTGAAAACAACACAGCAAGCGTTATCAGGAATCAGTGGAAATTTATCGCAAGAAAGTTTCAGCAAACGCCTTGGTCACGTAAGCAGATTTTCGCGCGTAAGCTGATCAGATGGCAATAACTTGATTTAACATAAATGTGAGAATATTGATTGATTTATCAACGAGTATATAAATTACGCATCATAAATAAAAATTATAATAAAATAAACTATAATTAATATAAGTGCTTGTGTATATTAATGCGATATTATAAACAAACAGCGTGTTTATCCGTAATTTTTATTCGTAATTAAGAAACATTAAGTCTCGAAACTGTAACAAAAAACAGATGTCGGTATTCGAAAGAAAACAACCAATCGATTTTCCAATCGCGCGGATACGCTAATCTTATATTTATAAGGACGCGATCGTACTACACGGATAAATTTCGGAGGAAAGAAGTGCAAAAACGGCGTTATGCAGAATTCATTGCTTTTCTCTTTCACACATTCAGAATCGCCTGAAAGGATTCCTGTCATTTGCCTAATACGGGCGAATAATTCATCGCCGATTTCGGCGGATAAGTGCGATATCTATTCCTGAGGACCAGAAAAATTCGTCTTTTTGTATAATCACAGCGTTTTAAATACAAATCAATTCAATCGAAATCATTTGTTCGAATATGCACAATTAATCTTGAACAAAATCAGCAAAATACTCATATTTGCAAAATGTGTTTAAATGCAATACTAATATAAATAAAAAATAATATTTATTTAATAATACTTATATAAACCGCTCGTCTTTTATTTAAAAAAAAAAAAAAAAAAACGACCGTGTACGTTACGCGCTTTATTTATAGTCAGATTGATTGAATTAGTTTTCGAAAGAACAAGAGCTTTTTTTTTTAACGGAACGTCTTTAACGAGCACCGGTTTCGCGAGCACCGGTAGAAATTAATTCCTCCGAGAACGTCAGAAGCTGCATAAACCGCGATGCCGCGCTGGTGTGCGTTTCATGCTGAAGCCCTCACGGCAGCAGTCGGAGAGAATCCGGCGACAAAGGAAGGTGCTGCTGCCGGGAGGTATAGGATTCAGAAGGGCGTGAGGGCAAGCGGCTCGCGGTGTCTGCGGCAAACAATTCCAATTAACTTGCTGGAATTGGAATAGGACTCGGTACTTGTTGGTTCGGCCGACTCTCGTAGATGCCACAGCGTCGAGCGCGACATGAGCATTCCTTCGTCTGTCCGTCGCGTTTTCTCATTTTTCTTCGTCGAAGTACGCCAAACGTGCCTGCTTGCGATCAAATATAAAGGCTGAGTTATTTAGAGAATTAAAAAATCTCACCGCAGAATCTTGTACAATCGTATATTACACATATCGATAAGCGCGACTTCCTTTTATTTTTGACGTTTCGAAAATGACACTTTTTTTGACAGCGCTGTAATGATTATTTGTTTTTTTAGGGGGAGAGGAGGTACGAGTCTCTGGCGTTAAGAAGAACTTTTCTATTGACAAAGCAATAGGTTATAATCGGAGAGAATGTAAATGATGATTCGTGTGTTCAACGAGATTTGTAAAACAATTTTAAATAGACCTCAACGAATAGAAATCTTTAACGCAACGTCACAAAGACCGAGTTTCACATGAGTGACAGTAGCGTCGCTTTCTTTGGGCGCGGATAGCAACCAGTGAAGCCATTATCCGCTGCATAATGCTCGTCAACGTCGTCATCGAGGCGATCATAAAGCACAGCCAGTGGAACTGGCGTCGTTGCCGCCCTAGACAATGGCGTTTCTGAGCTGCTCAGATATTGAAGACGCCCGAAAGCTGTGTGTACCAATCCCGAAGTGTACACAACGTCTAGCTTGCCTCTTAACATTATTAAATCCTGCCAACCGCGCGGGACAATGGCGTTCTTTAAGCGACCGTCACGTCACAATAACGTGTCGCGAATTACCGATCTACGTTCCAACGAGACCGTCTCTCTCTCTCTCTCTCTCTCTCTCTCTCTCTCTCTCTCTTTACGTGTAATTCGCCAACCTCGCTTGTTTCGCACGTAACGCAAGATTTATGAGATAAGATAGTTTCAAGAGTTTCAGATTTTTAAGTAGAGATTTTTTTTTATATAATTTGTTTACCGTTTCGGTTATTTAGAGCTTGATTATATCGTTTAATTGTTATCTACATCTAATCGTGTAAATACAAGTGAGTATTATGAAATTGAAATTAAGAACGGAAGCTAGAGTTAATAAAAATCGACACGTTTTAATCTTTCTCTCTCTCTCTCTCTCTCTCTCTCTCTTTCTCATTTTCCTCCGTTCGACGAGAGAACATCGGCCACCGTATGACCGTGGCAAATCCACAAGTTTACACGCAACGACGGCCGTTTACGGAGACGTAATTGCCCATCCGATGATAGCGCAGGCGTCATGTAATCACCAGCTCGTAAGCCTCGAACAGCTTAATCTGTGAGGCGTCACGTCGTTACCCGCGTCATCAGCGCGGCGTCGGCTGTCGTTGCCGTCGCGTCCCGCTCGTGGCAGGAAAGACATTTAAAAGTAAGTATAGCTGGACAGATCCGCCTAGCGGGTTTAAAAGTCAAGTGCCAAGAGCGCAATTTATTTCATCCATTTGCTAGATAGGAAAAAAAGAAGGGGAAGGAAGAACTTCTGGGGAAAGAACGGCCACTATACATGAAACGGAAGAGCTCGGGGACTGCGGTGTGTCTCTCTCGCTCCGCTTTTATCTCGTCTCGTTGCAGTACGATTCACTTCATTGAATGACTCATTTTATTTCCCGCCATCAAAAGTATCATTTGTCTCGCTCGGAACCCTCTTTTTTTGTTTTTTTGTTTTTTTTTTTTTACTCGTATTCCGAGAGGACGAGGTTTGTCTCACTTGCCGATCTCATTATCCTCCGTTTCTGTCCACCCTTCTCAAAGTGAGCAAATACAAGAAGAGCGCGCGAATTTTCGTCCTCGAGAAAATGGCGTTCATTCCACCTACAAATATTTATGTATTTTATTACATCAGAGAGATCTTCGCAAAAATAGTCTGGTTGGCTATTTCAAGACAGGTTTCTTAAGAACAAGAACAAACGAAGCAACGGGAAGAGATAAATGGTAGCTTTCGTTTCGGTCAACAATTAATTAATGAGAACACATTAAGAAAGTATGAAACAAACGGATGCGCGATCGACGCGTTTTCGAAAACAAAAGACGCCAATTACTGTAGCATCGATCGCGCGCGCGGCAAAGACGTCGCGATGGCTATCATCCACCTTCATACGGCGCGAATGTATCCAATATTGGAAATTCTATATCGTACTCACTTCGCGCGGATGTAGTCTCGTTCACACACACCATCTCAATACAGATATGTTTATTACCGAGAACGACACACACACTTATAAAAGAGAAGAGAGAGAGAAAGAGAGAGAGAGAGAGAGAGAGAGAGAGAGAGAGAGAGAGAGACCTCTGTTCTGGCTATGACTTATCGGACGCGACTTGTTGCGCGTACACGTTCAACCGCGAAACAATTGTTTCCGGTCTTTCCTAGATTACGACGCTATGTTGTAGCGATTAATAACGCGATCGATGATAAACCGCCGTTGCAAGCCCGCGTCACGAAATCGCAATTAAAAGATCGTAAAAGTCCGATAACGGATGAATCAATCTTTCCCGGCGAACTTTCTTTCTTTCGCGAAGAGATGCAATCGAAACAAAAAAGAGAACGTGACTCATTAAAAAACGCGCGCTCAAAAAATAAAAAGCGCACTTCGAGTCAGCATTTTGTAGGAGGAGGTGACTTACGCCACTTTGTGCTGGCGCGCAAGAGTAAACACGTGCTATTTAATAATAACGTTTTTCGTCGATGTGTAATCTTGACAAACGAGATAGATCCTAGATTTTTAAGGACTCAGACGGGAGTCTAAAAAAATTTATTGCGAAGCAAACTTAACCGTCCGCGCCACGTGTGTCGACTAACGAACGCGATATGTGAGGCAAGATACACAGGAAAGAAACAGAGACGACGGGGGAAGAGAAATAAAAAAGATAGAAAACAGGGGGGAGGGAGGACGAAATAGCGAGGGAGCAGCACACATCGGGAGAAAGTACGGGAGCTGCGCTGTTAGAATGCGAGAAGTACGTTCGCAATCAGCAGGAGCTGCCGTCTGCGTCGTCGGTCTGGGTTGAATTCGCAGGCGTAGCACGTTGTTACATAACGAGATTATATCATTAACCGAAGGTCTCTCCTTCCCGCCCGACGGGAGATACAGACGACGACTGTTGTCGATAACAATATGAAGCTTCATTTTTGCTGATTAATAAGCGTCGCATGTGCCGAGCTCACCGGAAGTGGTCATATGCGCGCGCTCGCGCTTGCTCGCCCGGCACGTGAAATTATTTACTAAAAGATTCATTACTGCGATGTGTCTGCAAGGACACATTGCGAGGAAATATCTTAAGCAACGCGAAAGACCGCGCGATCAGATAATTTTCCGAGAGGACGTGTAAAATAAATTTGCCAAAATTTTATGAGAGAATCTTACGCACGCGCGTGTTAAGTCGAATTTTTTTCGTGCCTTTGCGATGTATCGCAAGACTTTGAACGTACGTATACATTTAGGTGTGTAAGAAAGGAAGTCAAGCATCTCTGATATTCCAACGGCTCCCTCTCGATTACATTCTACGTGACGAATGGCGAGAGTCTAATGAATCTATCGGTTCGATCACGTCTTCGAGTGACCCATCGAATAAATG